CTATAACTACAGCTACTTCAAAAATATGTAGTCAGCTACAACTACTGCTACTTTTGAACAAAGGTAGTTCGCTACTGACTACAGCTGCTGCTTAAAAAATGTAGCGAACTATTTCGCTATTTCGCTACTCTATATTTTTTAGTTTTACAGGATTTAGAGCATCCACTAGCTCAGGCTGTAGTATAACTTATAACAAATCGACTTACGAGTAGCAACAGTAAACAAAAAGGGTCAAAGCAACATTTTTGCAAGCACTACAGTGTTCAGGAGTGCCACTTTTCATTGCGCTAAAATAATCTTTACTGTATAAAATCTTTAACAAATCGACTTACGAGTAGCAACAGTAAACAAAAAGGGACAAAGCTACGTTTTTGTAGGCACTACAGTGTTCAGGAGTGCCACTTTTCATTGCGCTAAAATAATCTTTACTGTATAAAATAATTTTTTAAGCAAACCGTGTCTTAATATAATTCTATTCTATGAACGGTTGCTAACAATTTTAGAAAGAAGCGAATAGCGATTCGCTGTTTGAAAAGTAGTCAACTATTTGGCTACTTTTAGGCAAAATGTAGTTCGCTATAACTACAACTACTGTTTTAAAAAAGTAGTCAAAAACTACTGGCTACTTGAAAATTGTAGTTCGCTACAGTAGCGAACTACAACTACTTCGCTACTACCCACCCTTGCTGATAGGAATCGAACCTGCGGCTCTAAAAGATTCCGGTGCAGCGCTCTATCCAACTGAGCTACAGAGGACAGTTGTCGAGCTCTAATCAACTGAGCTACAGAGAGATAGTTGTCGAGCTCTAACCAACTGAGCTACAGAGGACAGTTGTCAAGCTCTAACCAACTGAGCTACAGAGAGACAGTTGTCGAGCTCTATCCAACTGAGCTACAGAGGACAGTTGTCAAGCTCTAACCAACTGAGCTACAGAGAGACAGTTGTCGAGCTCTATCCAACTGAGCTACAGAGGACAGTTGTCAAGCTCTAACCAACTGAGCTACAGAGGACAGTTGTCGAGCTCTAACCAACTGAGCTACAGAGAGACAGTTGTCGAGCTCTAACCAACTGAGCTACAGAGAGACAGTTGTGGAGCTCTAGCCAACTGAGCTACAGAGACAGTTGTCGAGCTCTATCCAACTGAGCTACAGAGGACAGTTGTCAAGCTCTAACCAACTGAGCTACAGAGGACAGTTGTCGAGCTCTAACCAACTGAGCTACAGAGAGACAGTTGTCGTGCTCTATCCAACTGAGCTACAGAGGACAGTTGTCAAGCTCTAACCAACTGAGCTACAGAGGACAGTTATCGAGCTCTAACCACAAGTTCATGTATGCAGCTAATTCAAAACAGGTTGTCGTTTGCAAACACCTTAAACTCTAAACATTAAACCCTAAACTCTAAGCGTGCAAGGCATAATGGGAGCATCATTTAATCAGTTTAGAAATCATATATGGGGCCCATTTCTTAGAGACATGGTAAATATCTCCTACGAGAACAATTCATTCACAAATAGCTGCAACATTCAACTATTAAGCTTGAAACATGTGCTCCCATTAAGCTTTGCGCGCTTAGAGTTTAAAGTTTAAGACTTAGAGTTAAAGATTTGCAAAGGACAGCCTTTTTTGAAATGGCTGTATACATGAACTAGTGATCTTTTGCATTAAATTTTGAGCCCTAAACCGCAAGCCTCGAATTCCCTGAAATCAATCGACGGCAATGGCGTTAAAAATTGCCGTAGAACGTAACAGTTGTCTACGGCAATTTTGGCAGTTTCCACGGCATTTTTCAAATTACTGTAATAAAACTTTAATTTTATTG